TTCTTATTATCAGTACTTTGGCAATCGTCATCTGTCACCCTCCTGCGCCAGCCCGGGGGGGGGAGGGGATCATTATCAAGTTTTCTTTGTACCTACTAGAGGGTTCCTGCTCTTGTTCCTCATATCAATTTGTGATAGCTTCAAACTTAGCCTGTGTTCGGGTTTTGCCTGCACTACCTTCAACGTGCCTCATGGATCTTTTCTTCTTCGTCTGGTATGTTGTATGATTACTTTTGTGTTTGCGGACGCGTGCACATATGCGTTCTGTTTAAGATGTTCGTGCTTCGGGGCTGTGTTGATCATGCCCCATCCTTCTCAGCATCAGGGCCGTCTTGGGTCATGATCCTTCTATCCCTCCACCCGCTCATTACTATCAGCACCGTCCAGACCTCTTGTTCTACCGATTATGGTGTTGATCCACTGTATAAAGCCCCATTAAAATCCACACCCTCACCCATCACTTGATTTGTGCCTCTCATCGTGTCCCGTCATCCAATTCAAATTTGCCCTGTACGCACGGATTCATTGGCTCACTCGCTCATCTCGTATCCTACAGTTGCGAGATCCCAATGTATACCTCTTTTCACCTCCGAGTGGTCTCTGAATTAATGACTGACTCCCCGACCACAACGCAGTGGTTCACTCGTTCGTTGTGGATCTAATCGATTGACTTTCCGACCTCCGGCCTTTCCCCCCGATCGGATTCATCTGCTTGTTCATATTCAATTTCCCTCTTTCTTTACCTTGTGTTTGTACCCTGCTCCTGTTATTTCTGTCTGTCTGATGAATGCACGACCGCTCTCAGTACTTTGTCGCGGTTGCGCCTTGTTTGACCAAGTGGAGAATGTATGCGCCTATATGCACACATTTATATGGATACATACATGCACAAACAGTTGAATGTACGTATGTTTTTTTTCATTCAATTTGGTTTTATGGGCATTCCTTCAGGAGATTTGGTCACATGGGTAGCGTTAGGTTTCCTGGATAGGGAAATCAGGAGTGTGATATGGCCGAATGTCACAAACAGTGACACGTGTACAACTTCTCAGTTTCTTTGCCATCTTAGTCTTCAGGAATTCTCTATTTTCACTCTGACTCTGATTTGAACATTTTACTCTCCCGTTTACTGCTTCATACATATGGGCAGTCATGAAGGAGCAACCAAAATCGGTGCAAGAAGGTATATGGTGAATGTTTGCTGTTAGAACTGGAACTGCATTCTATCAGCATGCGGGCCTCAGTTACCGTTTCTGAAATTGGAGTAATGTCAGCATTGAACTCGAATGGTGTGAATGAACTTCACATATTTTCCGTTTGATTAATATCGACTAAAAAATAATTTCTTTCAATCCGATTCTATCGAGTTACTGGAGGTGTAGGACAGATAGTGGTGTGACTTTTGTGGGAATGTGTGGTCTCTTTTCCATCCATCGGAGTGAAAAGCGGTTGTGCCACTTCCATGGTATTTACCGTTTTAGTCGCACGAAAAATTTCGCATGAGTCTCTTTTCTGTGGAACGCGTCCAGCCAAATTATTTCCTGGGTTCTCATTTGTTAAGTTTCAACTTGTTACAAATGGCCGGGGATTCCAATGTTTTTGGAGATCTGTACGGCATTTATTTTATTATAGAAAACGGCCATAACACCACAACATCTGGCATTTCTATGATGGTCCAAAAGCGCTTCGCCTAGTATGCTCCAGTTCTGAATATGTCCCTGTCCTCCCTAATATACTCTGCGCGGTATAATGTAACTGCCGATGATCCTAGCGACGTGAGTCAGGGTTGTTACATTTTCAGTCCGGGATAACCTATTGTAGTTGCAGCAGTAAGTTTCCTATTGGTAGTGGTAAGTTGGTTGAAGTCACTGACACTGGCTTGCTCTAGGTCTCAGGTTCGAAACGTACTGTAGAAGACCGTTGCTTTGTCCACTATCCCAGTTCTAAGCCTATCGTACCGGGTCCTTATGGGGTTCCCCCGTCCCAAGTTTAAAGACTGGGTTCTTTGGTTTTGATAATTGGGCAAATACCCCTCTTAACTGTGCCTGTCCTCTCTTACCATTTAGCGGATAGTGTATAATAAAAGGGTGATACAATCAGTAATAATGTGTAGTGTTTGATTTTGTTCAAACACTTGTTGATTTTAAAACACTGGGTCTATCTTATCCGTCGCATCAAAATCGGAAGAAGACAAATGTCACGAAAGGTTGATATTTCGTTTAATCTCCTCAATCGTTGACGTAAACAAAAAGTTATTGATTTAGACCAATATTTTTGGTTTATTTCTGTAGATTTAAAAGTGAAACTGACAATTTTAAAAGACGACTTTTGATATGAGATCGTTCAAGAGATAAATTGAAGTGGATTCCGCAGATGAAAGAGTGTGGGAAGCTGTTGTGCGTGGCCCTCAGCCAAGTTGCCAAGCAGAAGATAAATAACTT